TTCATATCGATTGATTTTCAATACAAATCTTATCAATCATAAAATATATAAAGTGAAATAATAGAAACGGCAAGTTATTGTTTCTTATTTTTTTAATATTTATTTCATATCGATTGATTTTTTATTATTATCACTACAATATTACCCCTATTAAATTATTGATTGATTAGAACAAGAGGGCTCTGAAGAGACCGATTATTGGGCGAGAGAAGTCAGAGAAAAAATTTTTTCTCTTCCCATATAATCGGTCTCTTCAGGCCCTCTTGTTCTAATCAATCAATAATTTGCAAACCCAAGCCTTTTGGGCGTTGCGGGGTTTGATTGGAGTAATGCGAGGGATAAGTAAAGTTCATCGGAAGGCGCTTCTGGGTGCTTTAAAATGTATCAAACGAAACCTGAAGCGGGAGCCGAGTCGAGTCGGGCCGGCGGTCAATCAATCGATAATTTATTTTGAAAAACTTTTGGCACTCGAACTACCCGCACTCAACTGGTAACAATTATTTTTATAGCCTTTTACTAGAGCCAATTCAGTGCTAGTTTAATGCGCTAGGCAACCCGCTCAATTGGTAATAAAAAGTGTGTTTTAGTTCGACACAAACTCTCTAATGGTATCTCGCTTATATTTTTTGCAATGTTGGATTCTTCAGCAGAAGTTATGAATCCTAATTTACGCAGAACTCGAAGGAGTAAGATCCAACATATTAAAATCATAGGGAGAATAATGGAATGTAGCAATAGCAATAATGGTATCCCATAAGCTACAGTGGGATCCAAAGCATTATCTTGTAAATTTGTGCTAGCAATTTTTAAAAATTCGAATGTAATATTCTGTGTAGTAGTGGAAATATTTTGCATGTCAAAAAAGTAATACATTTTAAATTATCATTATTTATACAATTATTTCAACCTAGATTGGAATCCGTAACTATGTGCCGATTGTAATCAATCATAATCATTTGATCAAATTCGCCTAAAATAATCATTTCAACACCTCCTGTAGGAATGGGAGTATTAAATTCTAAACGAACACTAGTAGTTCCACTTTTGAGAAGCTCAAAACCACAAGAGTCATCAAGTGTCGATGTCAAAGGTATCACAAAAAAGGTCCACCCATCTTTAAAACGTGACATTGAAATATCAATGGAACGATCTGAATTAGCCATTCCAAGAGCTTCATACATGTCAACAAAAGCCCTAACAAATAAGTCTTGAGCAAACTTTAGCTTGTAAGCGACCATAGGATAAATATGGCCACCAGTATGAACAGAGATATCCCTAATATCAAAAGGTTTGAAATTGAATGGGGAAAGCGCAATATCGCCATTAATGGCCTTATTTGAAACTAAGGCAACTGTAATGCGTCGAGGTATAGCTGAGCTGAAGGCATTATACTCAATTTCAGTTCGCCCTGAAGTAAGATAAGTAGATTTCATTTCAGTTCGGCGAACAGCATACGTAGCAGGTTTAGATTCAAGTGTCTTATAAATGTTCATATTAAGTGATGGTTGCACTTCAACCATTTTTGAAAATAATTTAACGTCGTGAACATAAAGTCTATATTGATTATTATCGCCTTCTTTGATATTTTGTAATATAAAAGCATCTTTACTTTTGTAAATGCTAAAGTGAATATCTAAATTATTAAGGAGAAATAATTCTTGATTTCCCAAATCAAAATCTAGGCGCGAAAGGAATTGCGAGCGTTTACTGTTTGCAAAAATAGAGCAACGATTTTTGAAACCGTCATCTGTAGGATCATCATGTTTTTCGGTTCTATAATATCCAATAGACGCAAGAAAATGCGATTTAACGTTGTCAGGAAATGACAACTCATTAGTAATATATGCTTTGTAAGTATAAAGAGTACCACTATCATAAACTTCAGTATTGCCAACAGTTACCTTCAACTGCTGAACAAATGTTTGTCCAACACCTTGAATCGATCCAATGTTATTATCTGTTGCTTCAATATCAACCCATTTGCCATTGGCTCCCAACTTTTCAATTGATAACTCGAGGTAAAGATATGTTCGAGACAAGTCAGTCCAAAGATTATCACTGAACAAACGAAACAAATACGGCGAATCTTGTGTTATTGTACTAAGAGGAAGAATTTCTCTAAAAAAGGACCGGACAACAGAAACGTTTGTAGGTGGTACAGAAAAAATACTTAATGCACTATTCAATGCCAATGGGCTGTTTTCATTAATTTGTTTCGGGCAACTCATTTTAGTATGTTCCTAACGTGTCTACTCGTAATCGTTTTTGGGGACGAGATTTTTTGGTAGATTTTTTAGAATATTTCTTTTTGAAATTGGGAATAAAATTTGGAGGACCGATTCGAGAATATGGATGTTTATTTATAGTTTTTGGTTTAAGATCTGGTATTGCGTCATTCATTTGTCCGATGCCAGGAGACTTCTCTATATTTTTGTACCGTTTAAAATCAAAACCTTTTCCACTTTGTTTATCAACATTTTCAGCTGCTTTTTGCAGTAAATTTTTCAAGCCTGATTTACCTTCAGTAACAAGAGATTCTTTAAGATTTTTTCCCTCTAAGACATTGCTTAAAACTCGATTACCGGATTCTAAACCCTGTCTTCCAATAGCGCTACCAATTTCTTTACCAATCGGGATTAAATAACGAAGAAAACTTCTAAACACTGATCCCAATCCATTACCTCGTTGGTAAGGAACGCCACGAAAAACATTATAGCCGCCCCATTGATTGGGGTTTTCAGTTAATGTTGACCAGTTTATATTTGCAGGATCAAAATCAATATGCATTTTTTTATATTGTAAGATTTAATATTTAAGTCATCTATTTATATTAAATATCTGAGTATTAATAAACTCAGATACGAATTTATCAGCATTAATCCCTTTTAGTAATGAAATGATTTTATTCATTGAAAACCCTAAGCAGCGCATATAAAGAAATAAGATAACATGATTGCCACAAGTACTAGAAAATGGTCGTTGTAACATAACAGAATTAAATTGGACTTTGTTAAACTTATTTAAATAATTTCTAATATGATGACTTATCGGCGGCCAAATACCTAAAGATTCATAGTATTCAATACTACTAACTGAATTGCAAAATAATCCTATCCAGTGTGTTCCAGCTAAATTGCTCGGATCTTATTAACTACAAAACAGAATGGGAAAGAATTACTCTTATTAGGAATAGAGTCTGAAGCAAAACATCCTACATAAAATCTCTTTGTAACAATATTTCTTTTTAATATTTTATCTATTTGATAGGTATTCATTGTCAAAAGTATGAAGCCTTTTTAAAATGTAATGTTAATGTACATGTTCCATATTGGAATGGCATTAATGTACCACTAGAAGTTCTAATTTCAATAAAAATTTCAGAAATTTCTTTTACAAGTAGCTTATGGTATTGTACACATAAAAATTGTTCTTCAATTATTTCATCTATTTATATTAAATATCTGAGTATTAATAAACTCAGATACGAATTTATCAGCATTAATCCCTTTTAGTAATGAAATGATTTTATTCATTGAAAACCCTAAGCAGCGCATATAAAGAAATAAGATAACATGATTGCCACAAGTACTAGAAAATGGTCGTTGTAACATAACAGAATTAAATTGGACTTTGTTAAACTTATTTAAATAATTTCTAATATGATGACTTATCGGCGGCCAAATACCTAGAGATTCATAGTATTCAATACTACTAACTGAATTGCAAAATAATCCTATCCAGTGTGTTCCAGCTAAATTGCTCGGATCTTATTAACTACAAAACAGAATGGGAAAGAATTACTCTTATTAGGAATAGAGTCTGAAGCAAAACATCCTACATAAAATCTCTTTGTAACAATATTTCTTTTTAATATTTTATCTATTTGATAGGTATTCATTGTCAAAAGTATGAAGCCTTTTTAAAATGTAATGTTAATGTACATGTTCCATATTGGAATGGCATTAATGTACCACTAGAAGTTCTAATTTCAATAAAAATTTCAGAAATTTCTTTTACAAGTAGCTTATGGTATTGTACACATAAAAATTGTTCTTCAATTATTTCATCTTGTTTACCTCTAATTGTTACAATTCTAAGCACTGGTGCTGTCACATCGCCTATAACCATTGGTTCAATTAATCCAGGTGCATAAACATGGAAGCAGGACACGCCTCCTCGCATATCAGGCATAAAGTTTGCAACACAAGTTTCAGTTAAAATTTGCCTATCAAATCCTAATATATATGCAAGCTGCTCAGTTAATTCAATTTTTTCTATATATTCACTATCAATGAATAAGGAAAACCTATTTTTATAAATGTGGAATTCAAAATTGCATGCTAATCTAGGTTTCCGAAATACTTTTATCCAAGGGTCAAATCCAACCTCGTTAGTTACCGAAATAATTTGTTTGAAATCATCAGTCATTTTTAAATTTTCGATATTCACCAAATCAGTAAAAATTTCATCTTCACTTTTTAAGCTAGGAACTTCAGTTTCTTCACTAATAATTACGTGTTCTTCTGTAGTATCGTTAGATACTGGCTCTGTCCTTTTCTGAGAGAGTTCTTTTAAACGTTTGTACTTATCCTTAGCCTGCGTGCGAAGTTCTTTTAATTTATTTGTATATTCAATGTGTACGCTACGAAATTTTTCAACAAGTGTTTCACTTCCTTTGTTTAAGGATCTATCTAAATTATCTTTTAAATGTTGGGGGTTAGTTAAGGTATTGGAAGGAACAGAAAATTGAACTACATCGCCACTTTTCCAATAAACAGTTACAGTTTGTTCATTATTAGTACCTAACGATGGCCAGGAGTGTGGATAAACCATAACGGATAGGCCGACATGCCACTCAGAATTAAATTGCAACTTATGAGGTAACCTAACTCGGAAGGAATTTGTTCTATTTCCTTCAATATTTGTGTTAGAAGGAATAATAATATAAAATGAAGTCATTTTTTTACATATTAAAAAATTAAATTTTAATTTATGTATAATTATCTCCAAGTTATAGAATTAGCGGGTATCCAGCTGTTATGTTCCGGGCCATAACCCTTCCAACTGACAAAAACATAATCTTCCCCATCGCGTTTCCTTTTTTTCAAAACTTTATTAATGTCATATAAATTCTCATCCTTTTTAGAATTCTCTTTTACTAAAATTAAATCATTAGAATAAAACCACCCCCTAATCTGTTCTCCATTAGAGTCTTTAATTTTGTATGTAGGAGGTTGATAGGGAACTAAGCGGACTTTATCAATAATAAAAATTTCATTTGTGAAATTTGGCAAATAGCCCTTTTGAAATATATGCTTATATTTTTCGATTCGCACTCTATCTCCTACTGAAAACTTTTTCCTTCTCCATCGAGAAGAAGAGGCATGTGTCTCAATTGCTCTATTCTTTAGTAATTGCCTTAATTTTTCAGCATTTTTAAAATTAACATCAGTTGGGCGCATACCTATACTGGAATTAAATGAGTTATTTATTGAGTTAACAATTTTTTGGATAACATCCACCCATTTTAAAGTTTTATTTTCTGTAAAGTACTTATATAATCTTTCTTTAATGCTCCTGTTCGCTCTTTCTGCCATCCCCGCTTGCCACAGAGGTGAAGTAAGCATAGAGAAATGTTCCATATCCATGGATTTGAAGTATTTTTGCACTTGTTTAGCAGTAAATTCAAGTCCTTGATCAGTTAATAATTTCCATGGAATGACTTTAGTACGAGAAAATAATTTTTTAAATGCATCTATCATATTATCACTATGTTTACTCTTTACCGGTTCGACAAATATTTGACGACTGAGTGTATCTATACACACTAATAAATACTTGTATCCTTGATTCTGTTTACATATACGATTAAAAACACTCAAATCTGCTTGCCATTCTGTATGAAGTCCGGGAGCTAACGTTGGCATTCTTTTATATTTTCTAACAACTCTCCTATGAAGAGTATTGACATTTTGACTTGAAAGATAGTCCTTGACATCTTGTCGTGAAATATTTTTATCAACTTTCCTAGATGCGTGTAAAAGCGGTTCGAGAGAGGTAAAACATGTTGAGGAATTAACATTTTTATATAATTTATCAAGTATTTTTATCTTATTATTAGTTAACACTACTGCCATAAGGACGGTTTATAAGAAAATACTTTTTTGAAACAACAACCTTCACCTTCTTGTTTATTAGTAGTTTTCGACGGAAAAAGCAAATTTTGTAAAACTGTATGTTTATTTATTCTACGAATAAATTCGTCGTAACCAGTTGGAATTGGTCTTTTACGCTTATTCTTATTTTTAAGTATATGATTTACAAGATCTTCTATATTACTTGTAATGAAAGAATCTTTGCTACCTATTTTTCTCGCTAACCTTCCATCTGGTAAAACACCTAATTCATTGGCATGTTGTCTTATATATTTCAATGCTTGTTCTTTTGGACCAGGCTCATTATCGGTATCTGCCGATAAAAATTCATCTTCCTCTTCATCACTTTTATCTTTCACCTCACTTTCAGCAGTTTCAACTTTAATATCTTGTACAGGATATTGTCTCCTTATACCAACTTTACCTACTGATCTTTTATGTAGTTTCCTTTTTACTACAACTTTACGGGGTGGTTTTTTAATGGGATCAGCATTTATTGCTAATGGAGGTTTGTGTTCAATATTTTTTGAAACGACATCAGCTAATTCTTCAAAATTTTTCAATTTAACATCAATAGGTTTTTCCTCCTTTTCTTTTAAAAGTTTATTATATCTTTTAAAATCCTGTTCATAACGAATTGCCCTTGTTGTAGGATCTATTATTTCTTTATTGGCACTATTATTTTGTAAACGTTCCTTTATTAAACCTATAGCAGTCCCATCTCCGCTTGAATGTAAATCTTTATTTTCATCAAAACCCCCAATTATATTTTTATAAATGTCTTCGGGGATTAGAAACATTCTATTTGCATTCTTCATAACTATATAAATTCAATAATAAGTTTTTATTTATATTATTTTAAAATTTTGTCAGTAATTATTGGAATAATAAGGCTGGCGAGAAGTGCAGCAACCGGTGGGATTCCATTTCCCTTTTGCAATAAAATTCTTGTAGATGGGGCACTTCTGGATCTACTTATTTTACGCAACAAATTTGCATGTTTTTGCAGAGTTATAATTCTATTTTTATGAAAGGGTAGACGTCCTTTTAATAAATTAAAACAAATTTCCACAAAACATAACAATTGTTCATCTGAAGCCTTATCTAGTAATTCTTTTAATACTTTATTCGATTTTGAACAATGAAAAATCGAACGCAAAAAATTTAAATTTTGCTGTATTAGATCGCTTGTATAAATTTTTTTCCTCATTTTGGAATATAAACTATAGTATTACTCTCATCATCACGATATATATGTGTTCTAAGTCTTAACAATTCAGGTGTGCTAGGATGTATATCTACTAAAAGATATCCAAAATTGTCTTTTGTAGCATCCGAATACGCCTCTAAGAAATATTTTGAACGTGAAGGAAACAAATGGGAAGCAAGTGTTCTTATCTGCAAGGCTCCCGCAGGATTTCGCATTAACAGCAAATAGTGTGAATTATTACGAGCTATTTTCAATTCTTTGCTAAATAAATGCTGTGTTATTAATATAACACTCATTTTCCAGTTATGAGAGCCTTTCGTAAATATTGTATCTAATAGATTTTGATTCATCCCAACCATTAAGTCATCAAGTACAAGCAATATTTTTCCATTTGATTGAATGGCCCTTGTACGTATAAATTCTTCACCCTCTACTGGCAGACCATTATGAACTATAACACTTGTCTTACCCTTATCAACAAACCCCATTCTTTGCATTCTTATAATATTTTTATTTAACTCTCCATAACTTATCAATCATAATATATATAAAGTGAAATAATTGAAACGGCGAGTTATAGTTTCTTATTTTCTTATTATTTATTTCATATCGATTGATTTTTTATTATTATCGATTGATTTTCAATACAAATCTTATCAATCATAATATATATAAAGTGAAATAATTGAAACGGCGAGTTATAGTTTCTTATTTTCTTATTATTTATTTCATATCGATTGATTTTTTATTATTATCGATTGATTTTCAATACAAATCTTATCAATCATAATATATATAAAGTGAAATAATTGAAACGGCGAGTTATAGTTTCTTATTTTCTTATTATTTATTTCATATCGATTGATTTTTTATTATTATCGATTGATTTTCAATACAAATCTTATCAATCATAATATATATAAAGTGTAATAATTGAAACGGCGAGTTATAGTTTCTTATTTTATTATTATTTATTTCATATCGATTGATTTTCCATACAAATCTTATCGGTCATAAAATATATAAAGTGGCATAATAGAAACGGCAAGTTATAGTTTCTTATTTTCTTATTATTTATTTCATATCGATTGATTTTCCATACAAATCTTATCGGTCATAAAATATATAAAGTGAAATAATAGAAACGGCAAGTTATAGTTTCTTATTTTCTTATTATTTATTTCATATCGATTGATTTTCAATACAAATCTTATCATTCATAAAATATATAAAGTGAAATAATAGAAACGGCAAGTTATAATTTCTTATTTTCTTATTATTTATTTCATATCGATTGATTTTCAATACAAATCTTATCATTCATAAAATATATAAAGTGAAATAATAGAAACGGCAAGTTATAATTTCTTATTTTCTTATTATTTATTTCATATCGATTGATTTTTTATTATTATCGATTGATTTTCAATACAAATCTTATCAATCATAATATATATAAAGTGAAATAATTGAAACGGCGAGTTATAGTTTCTTATTTTCTTATTATTTATTTCATATCGATTGATTTTTTATTATTATCGATTGATTTTCAATACAAATCTTATCAATCATAATATATATAAAGTGAAATAATTGAAACGGCGAGTTATAGTTTCTTATTTTCTTATTATTTATTTCATATCGATTGATTTTTTATTATTATCGATTGATTTTCAATACAAATCTTATCAATCATAATATATATAAAGTGTAATAATTGAAATGGCGAGTTATAGTTTCTTATTTTATTATTATTTATTTCATATCGATTGATTTTCCATACAAATCTTATCGGTCATAAAATATATAAAGTGGCATAATAGAAACGGCAAGTTATAGTTTCTTATTTTCTTATTATTTATTTCATATCGATTGATTTTCCATACAAATCTTATCGGTCATAAAATATATAAAGTGAAATAATAGAAACGGCAAGTTATAGTTTCTTATTTTCTTATTATTTATTTCATATCGATTGATTTTCAATACAAATCTTATCATTCATAAAATATATAAAGTGAAATAATAGAAACGGCAAGTTATAATTTCTTATTTTCTTATTATTTATTTCATATCGATTGATTTTCAATACAAATCTTATCATTCATAAAATGAATAAAGTGAAATAATAGAAACGGCAAGTTATAATTTCTTATTTTCTTATTATTTATTTCATATCGATTGATTTTCAATACAAATCTTATCATTCATAAAATATATAAAGTGAAATAATAGAAACGGCAAGTTATAATTTCTTATTTTCTTATTATTTATTTCATATCGATTGATTTTTTATTATTATCGATTGATTTTCAATACAAATCTTATCAATCATAATATATATAAAGTGAAATAATTGAAACGGCGAGTTATAGTTTCTTATTTTCTTATTATTTATTTCATATCGATTGATTTTTTATTATTATCGATTGATTTTCAATACAAATCTTATCAATCATAATATATATAAAGTGAAATAATTGAAACGGCGAGTTATAGTTTCTTATTTTCTTATTATTTATTTCATATCGATTGATTTTTTATTATTATCGATTGATTTTCAATACAAATCTTATCAATCATAATATATATAAAGTGTAATAATTGAAACGGCGAGTTATAGTTTCTTATTTTATTATTATTTATTTCATATCGATTGATTTTCCATACAAATCTTATCGGTCATAAAATATATAAAGTGAAATAATAGAAACGGCAAGTTATAGTTTCTTATTTTCTTATTATTTATTTCATATCGATTGATTTTCAATACAAATCTTATCATTCATAAAATATATAAAGTGAAATAATAGAAACGGCAAGTTATAATTTCTTATTTTCTTATTATTTATTTCATATCGATTGATTTTCAATACAAATCTTATCATTCATAAAATGAATAAAGTGAAATAATAGAAACGGCAAGTTATAATTTCTTATTTTCTTATTATTTATTTCATATCGATTGATTTTCAATACAAATCTTATCATTCATAAAATATATAAAGTGAAATAATAGAAACGGCAAGTTATAATTTCTTATTTTCTTATTATTTATTTCATATCGATTGATTTTTTATTATTATCGATTGATTTT